ACATAATTTAATATAATTGATAACAAGTATTTATCAAAATATTATACAAAATAAAGGTCAAATAAGTGAAATCGAAATTTGCTACCTCGCAGCAAAAGTGTCCAATTTAAAAAAAAAAGTTTACTGGTATCACTGCAACCGAAAGTATTGCACTATAGTGATGTTGGCCTCAATTTTAGCTATCGATAAGTTAATTAACCATGCGGGTTTGTCTGCCGAACCGGTTTGTAGTTTTTATTTAAATTTTACAATAACGTATTACGAAAAGTAGTAAATTTTTCTATTATTGGTTTGTTTTTATAGATATTCAAGAGATCCTCTTAGGCGGCAAACTTGGATTGCAGCCTGTAGAAACTATGAATCTTGGATACCTAAACGGACTAGCACCATTTGCTCTGAACATTTTGAAAAATCATATTTCAAGCTAACAATAAAAGAAGGTTAGCCGACACTGCAGTATCAACCTTGAACGTGTAATGAAAAATGTTTGGCTGTGATTATATTTAGATTAAATATTTTTATTATTACTTTTGACACCAATATCATTCTACTTGAAAATATTTCAGATAAGTTTACAAAGGCATTAATCTATCAAATTCAATTGATATATATATATATATATATATATTTTATATAGAGAGAGAGAGAGATATAGAGAGAGAGATAGAGAGAGAGAGAGAGAGAGCTTGAATCTTGTGACTTACATAAGTAAATTATTTGTTTTACTAGGCTGCACTAAAAGTATCGGGAATGGAACATTTCCACTGTTCCTGTCATATTAAAATCTTTTTAGTTGAAAACTCCTTGGTTTTAAAAATCGAATACCATTTATTCATTTAAAAAAAGATTCTCGGCCTTGTCACAAGCTTTTTTCAAACTTGTTTAGTCGTTGAGAAAATGGAATTGACTCGAGAAAATTCAAGAGCGATGATTTATTATGACTTTTGAAGTGGTTTAACACAAAAACAGTGTGTTGACCGGATGATTTCTGCATTTGGTGATGAAGCCATCCAAAACCACAATTTATCGCTGGTTTGCTGAATTTCAACGTGGACGTGTCAAACTCAGTGATGATCCCCGTCAAGGTCTCAAAAATGCAGTCACCTAAGAAAACGTTGATGCTGTGCGTAAGCTGATTGAGGAAGATCGACATGTGACATACCGCGAAATTCAGGCAACTTTAGACATTGGCATGAGTCAAATACAAATAATCTTGCATGAACAATTAGGTGTAAAAAGTTGTTTTCCCGATGGATATCGCATTCGCTCTGTGAAGAGCAAAAAGCGGCTCGCGTTACTTGGTGCGTCAGAACTCTCGAAAGATTCCACGCAGGATCCTCAAATGCTGTATACAACATCGTATCAGGTGACGAATCCTGGATATACGCGTACGAACCCGAAACAAAAAACCAGTCACGAGTTTGGGTGTTCAAAAATGAGTTAAAGCCAACAAAAATTGTTCGTTCACGGAGTGTTGCAAAAAAGTCGGTTAATGCAGAATGGTATGCTAGCATTTGTTTGCCACAGGTTGTTTCTGAACTCCGTAAAGAGAACTGCAACCGCCGCAACATCCTCCATCACGACAATGCGAGTTCTCACACCGCACACAGAACAAAAGAGTTTTTAGAGCAAGAAAACATAGAATTATTAGACCATCCGCCGTCAGCCCCGACCTAAGCCCTAATGATTTCTCTACTTTCCCTAAAATAAAGAATAAATTGCGTGGACAGAGATTTTCATCATCTGAAGAAGCTGTGGACGCCTACAAAACGGCCATTTTGGAGACCCTAACTTCCGATTAGAATGGTTACTTCAATTATTGGTTCCATCGTATGGAAAAATGTGTGAAATTTCGCGGAGAATACTTCGAAAAGCAATAAATACATTTTTAAGTAGTAATGTTGTGTCACTTCCTTGATTCCCGAAATTTTCAGTGCCGCCCTCGTAGGCTGATCGTAGTGATAGTCTACATCAAAAAAGTCACAATTCGAAGAAAATTCCTTATATAGCCCCACCTAGTCCTATTCCCAATGCAACTACGAGCCAAAACTTAGAAGATACGCCAAAGAAATTGAAACTGAAAAAATGCCATGACATAATAACAATAGCATAAAAAGGCTTCAATCGCAGAAACGGTATTTAAAGAAAAAGTTACAAGTTTGCAAGAAATACTAGATTCGCTGATAGAGACATCTTTGATAAATAAAGAAAACAAACAGGTACTAGAAAAGATAGGAATTGAAATAATAATAGAAACAAACAATAAGCCACCTCTACTTGTCTGATTAATTAAACTACTTTTGTCGCTTATTATTAACTTCCACGTGGGAAGTTATTGTAATGGGTCCGATTTTGCATATTGGAAATTTTGACATATCTCCACGTTTCAACGTCTTTAGAGTCGAATAGTATGATTTTTAAGAGGATGTCCGAGTGTGCACATGTACGTATGTATATTCGGATTCAATTGTATTTTCATTGTATCTCACTAACAAAAAGTGATGTTGCCATGGGACCAGTTTTATTTAACGTATAATTATGTACCTTAGACCTCATTAAATTTTGAGCAAAATCGATCAAGTCGTTTTCAGTGCCGAATGAATAATTGTATAAAATATTAAAACATATGATATTTTTTATTCTTTCCACTGGGAAGTTAGTCGTGTGGACCTTTCGGGTCGCACCTAGACCGCTTATTTGCTAGATCAACTCATCAAGAATTGGACTATTCGGTAAATATGATTATACTAATATCAAACACACGCTACCCGCGGTGCCATAAATCATCAGGGCACTAGGGCCGACGATTTATGGCACCGTGATCAGACGCGTGCGGTGCGTTACTTATCGATAACCGCTTATTGATTCCTAGAAGGACGAAGAATAGTATGCGGTGTGCGCTGAAGCGCGGTAGTTGATTATTAAGTGCGGGTAATTTATTAATTACTCTGCAAGTATAAGTATAAATATAAATATCGGTATGAGGACGTTGCTGATTATTGAATTTATTGATTTGACATAAGTTAGAACGGACACTTTTTTGGAAAAGAATATTAAACGTGTTGGAAAAATATTCAACCTCAAGCTTTCTTTTTATTTTACATTCTTTACTTTTTCATAATACACATCGACAGGACAGTTGTGCGTCACTATGGCTGCCGTAAAGCCTGTAAGCGCAACAGGCGGCGTCCTGTTTCTCCATTTTTATTGCACCGCGGGCAGCGAGTGTTTAACATTAGCATAGTGACCTAAGAAAAATTTTGCCACCTGCAACCGTCAACTTCCTGCATCTTTACCAAGTCGTTACTCCGTGTAGTGGAAGGCCTCGTTACACATCGCTAACTTTTCGCCACTCGAGAACCTTTATTCCTCATCGGTTGTCGGTTCTAATGAATTCTAAATAAAACTATATAGTCGGTCCATTGTCACTTCAGCATACTGATCCATTGGGCTACGTCGATTACTCTGATTTTACTGTGGATATCCTTGTTTCGAAGTCTATCACACGGAGAAACTCCGAGTATAGCCTATAGCATAAATTATTATAAAAGTATCCTACCATAAGAGACTCACAGCACTAATTAATTATTATCATCCATGATAAAAATGATGCTAAATGTTTGCCTAAAAGTTATAAATTTTTTTTATTAAAAACATACCAGATTCTATAGCCTCTCGTTCTCTTTGCATTGCATCTTTCATCATGAGCGGGCTGACGAAAAACTGGCTAAACATGTCCATTGCGTGAGGCAAATGTTTCTCTTGGATTTCGAAGTAGAATGTTGTCACCTCGCAGTCTGTGGATGCGTTGTCCGAACCGCCTTTTTTCTATTGTTAAAAGAAACAAAAATTTTATTAACGTGAAATTACTCTATACAAAAATTTTATTAACGTGAAAGTACTCTATGTAACTCGTATACGACGACATATTAGTCGCGGTCATAGACATTTTTTTACAATTATAAGCCAGTGCTTTACTATTATTCCATCTGATGGTAAGTAGTACTTATCTTAGTAAACCTATTCACTTTTGCCTTGAAGACACCTACATTATAATAGTCATTTATTATTTTTACGATTACACAGGGTTTAAGAATTTACGGTCCAATATTATGATACCCATTTGGGCATAGTACTCGTAATATAGAAAATGATTACAGTATTTAATTGAAAATATACCGTAATAACCAAAATTATCATATCAACATCATATTGTATGTAGCAAATTTATTAATATTTAAATAAAAATATTTGAACGTGTATGTAGCAGACGTTTATTTATATTTTATGTCATTAAAATATTCATTTAATTTATTTATTAAATTTTGTTCCAATAAGTTTTTTAATTTATAATTTTTTTCAACTCTTAGTTCGTCAGGTAGATTATAATATATTTCTATTGGTGTAATACACAGACTGTGACTGCGCATTTAATATGACGATTCCGTAGATGAAGCTCATTTTTTTTCATTGTTGTTTTGCGAAATGTGAATTAATAAGTCGGACATTATATTTTTTACACACTCGTTTATTCGACATAAATATCTCCGAACCGAGTTTCGTTCTTTTTTCTTTTTTTTTTTTTGAATGTATAGGTCAAACCACAGAAGAAGTCATCGAATAGAGACTAGCTGTCAATTTTTTTCTTTTTTTTTAAGAAAAATTAAATATTACTAAATAATTAATTTTTCTTTATTTTTTATTTTAACCATTATTTTGATAAAATCAAACCAGCGGTTGGTCATTCGAATCAACAACATTTCATTTTATAGCGCTCCGTCTATCTTCGTAAGTCTAGGAATAATAACTGTCAAATACATTTTGATAATTGTTAACAAGAGTCTTTGAGCTACAATTACCTTAATAAAAGCATCAAATTCATTCTCCTTAGGATATTTCTCACTACCCATGAACACCATGTGCTCGACAAAATGTGCCAGTCCTTGTATGTCGGGTGGGTCGCTGTAGCTGCCAACGCCAACGCAAAGCGCGCAGGCCGCCTGCAAACAATAAATTAAATAATAATAATGTCCTCCAGACCGAATTTCTGCCACGGCGGCCTGCCTCAACGGAGGCTAGCCAACGGCGCAGGACAGGATTATAGTGCCCAAGTTTATGCGCAAGCACAGGTGCACTCTCTATTCTCTCACTCTCATAATCCGATGGGACGGTAAACCGACACGACCGGAGAGAGATCAGGCGCAAGACCAACGGCTTTACGTGCTCTCCGAGGTACGGGGGTGAGACACCGCCAACTTCCTGACTCCGGGCAGCTACTGAGAATTTCTTGACGGAAAAACTCAATAATTGATTATTTGGCCCGACCCGGGATTCAAACTCAGGACCTCATGATTAGCAGTCGCAGTACTACAACCGCTAGACCAACGAGGCAGTCAATAACTAAATTAAATAATGTACCCACCCACCTAAAATTCACTATTGAAACCTTGAAAAGACGCTTATTTACGAGTATAATATCAACTTTATTATTCAACATAATAGAAACAGGTTAAACTACATAAAATGGCTCCTAATTCCTTACGGCGGACACAGCAAAGACGAAATTTACACAATAATTTTATTTTAAAAAAAGGTGTTTACGGGTTCAATTAAACCTTTTTCGTTTACCATTGTTTTATTTTAAGTCTTCCATTTAAAATTATGATCGATTGACATATATTCGAATATGATTATTCGAAATCTATTAGTGACTACACAAATTTCAACGGTACAGCAATTCAGCATGAAAACGTCTATTATATTTAACGTTTTATAGAAATTTAAGGCCCCCAAACTTTGAAAGCTTTAAAGACCCTGCATGGTCCCGCGTAACAGAAATGTACGAGGGGTAATTCAAAAGTAATGATAATAATCGCCTATTTCCAGTGCACACAAAAATAAAAATAAATTTATTTGCTTATGTATCGACTAGATCAGCATAATCATATATTAATGCGATTTCCGGGAATAAATTAATTTGAATAGGATTCATTAAAGATATAACACCAAAATGAGAAAAACGAAATTAGAGCTGCTATCAAGTATCTCTGTTTAAAAAAATGTCTACCAACGACATACACAGCGACTTGGTGGAAACATTGGGGATACTGCTACTCCGTATTCCACGGTGGCACGCTGGGCCAAGGAGTTTAAGCTAGGCAGAATATCCACGGAAGATGAACATCGCAAAGGACGCCCATCCACATCCTCCACTGAAGACAAAGTGAAAAAGTGGAACATGTATTGGCAGATCGAAGAGTGATCATCAGACATATAGCCGAGGTCACAGGGATCTCATATCAGTCCAGTGAGTGAGTCAGTCCCAGTCCCAGTCCTGGTCAGTCCATTCATTCCGATCAGGTACCTCGCCGCGTTCGGTCGCCTGCGACCCAACCGTGAAGTGCAGTTGTTCGGTCGAGCCCGTGCGCTCCCAGTGTTGTTCTCAAGTACGAAGAAAGAAGACAAAGACATTTTACCTGTCCGCGCGAGTGCTCAGTGTCGTTGTGCTCCTTTACGGCCGCCAGGTACATCGGGCTGCCGGCCCATTGTCCTGTTGGCCCATTGTTCTATTGTGTTTAGTGCTAGTTTTAGTGCCCCACGTTCTCCGAATTTCCAGTAAAAACTGTAAGTAGTTTATTGCACACCCGCTGCCTCAGAGGCAGCAATTCTATTGTTTAATTTCTGTGTTCGCTTGTCGCGTTAGGCGACAGCTAGGTACACACCCTAGCGTACCAACGCGCTAGTTGTATAAGTGTTCGTTTAGGCACACACCTCCCTCGTCGAAAGGTGGGGGGGCTTGATACACAAGTGTTTTCTAACCACTGACAAGATGACGGCTATTACTATAGCCGAACTCGCCGACTTCTTCGGTCAAGTGTGCCCCGACGCTTGGGCTGCTTTCCTAGCCCAACGCAACGTATCCACTGCTGAACGTCCCGTTGTACGTATCGACGACCCTATGTCGCCGAGCCCCGGGCCCTCGACCCCTGTGTCCATAGACACAGTTTACGACGCCGCGTCCCCCGCGCCTTCTGCGCTCTCCACCCGCGGTCCATCTCCGTTGTTTTCGGACGCCGAATCAGGCTCCGAGATGGAAATAGAGAATCCCCGACCCGATAAACCCGATGACGAAGGCTTCACCCTAGTCTCGGGTAAAAAGCGCAAGCGCCGCGCTGCGAAAAAGGGAGACGAGCCTCACTCGGCCCCTACGTCGCCCAACGCCACTCCGGCAAAAAAAGTCGCGGCTTCCGCGCGCAAAATGACCGCGAACAAAACCGCGAACCCGACTCAGGCCGTACCTAGGAAGGAGAAGCCGCCGCCCCCTATAATCTTACAGGACAAATCGCGCTGGAGCAACCTATCCAAGTGGATAGACTCCAAAAAGATATTCTGTCCCAAAGTCCACAATGGACCGCAGGGCATTCGTACCCACGTCGCAACGACGGACGATTTCCGCGCTTTAACTGCGCATTTAAAAGCTCAAAACTTGAGCTTTCACACCTACTCCCTCGCGGAGGACCGTAACATCCGTGTAGTAGTTCGCGGACTCCCTAAAGAGCTAGAAACCGAGCACATATTAAGCGATCTTAAATCGCAAAATCTGCATGTTAGAGAAGTGCACAGGATGCACCATCCAACCGACAAAAAACGTTACCTTGATCTTTGTCTAGTAATACTGGACCTGTCTCCAGAGGGCAAAGAGATATTTAACATCTCACGGATATGCAATCTCACAGGGATTGTTGTAGAGTCCCCGCGTAATAGGAGCATCGTTGGCCAATGCCACCGATGCCAATTATACGGCTACTCGGCCAGAAATTGTTTCGCCCGGCCTAGGTGCGTCAAGTGCTTAGGCGATCATGGCACTACCGAGTGTCCCCGAACGCCCGAGACGGAGGGCCCTCCGAGCTGTGTTCTATGCGGTGAAGAGGGACACCCAGCGAGCTATCGCAGGTGTTCCAAAGCGCCGCGTAGGAAGCAGAATGGAAGAGCAATCCGACGCGGACGTGCGGGCAACTCCAGTAGGTCGCGCCCACGGCATTCTGCCCCATCGATCGCACCAACCTCGGTGCCGCAACCCGCGCCCGCTCAGGCTACAGCCAAGCCCGCCCCCGTTAAAGGGACTTCCGGGCAAGGCCCAAGCCTTCCAGTGCCTTCAGCACCTAAGCCCAACGCATGGGTTAAGCCCCCGGCGATTGTTAGCGCGGCCGCCTCACGGCCAGTGCCTCCTCGCCAGGCCCAGAAGCCCAAACCCGCCCCTCAGGCACCTTCAAACATCGACACAGACCTTTCGTTAGTGTTCAACTTCGCCAGCAATATTAACTTGGCCGAAGTCACAACCTTAGCCCGCAAACTTCGCGAAGCCAAGTCCATTCAAGATAGGCTCAATGCTACCATTGAGCATATCAGTCTTATCCAAGCGATAAGTTCGTTCCAGTGCGCCTAAGCCAATTTTTTCTTTTATAACCAAAATGGAAATACGACCTATAGGTAGAACCAAGCCTAGGTCTCTGACTGTCGCGTACTTTAACGCAAACGGTATCAGAGATCAAAAGGAAGAGATCATGTATTTTTTACGCGACCATGATATCGACATCATGCTAGTGCAAGAGACCTTCTTGAAACCTAGTTTGAGCGATCCCAAAATAGCCAATTATACCCTAGTAAGAAATGATAGGCTGACCGGACCTAAAGGCGGCACCTTGATCTACTACAAAAGGTCCTTGCAATGTGTACCGATAGATACTCCGCCGCTTACTAACTTAGAAGCGTCGGTGTGTAGGATAGCACTTACTGGCCATCCGCCAATAATAATAGCATCAGCATACCTGTCTCCCTTAAAAAATATATTAGATTCCGACATATCGGCCCTTTGTCTCTAACTCTATTGTGAATTGTATTTTAGAGTTTATGGAGTTAAGGTGGTCTAAAAATGCAGTTGCTTTGTCAGATGGTAAATGGTGAAGCCGGCCACAGTCGAGCGCGCGCCTGCTCTACTACCATATGTCAGAGGAGTCACGGACAAGATTGGCTACATCTTGAAGCGAGCGTCCATTAAGACATACTACAAGCCGCTGAAGAAGATTTGTCAATTTTTAACATCCATCAAATGTAATATTTCTCTACAAGATGCAGGTGTGTACAAGCTACATTGTGAATGTGGTCTCTCTTACATAGGTCAAACAAAGAGATCTATAAAAACCCGCGTGAAGGAACATATAGCTGATGTGAAGCACCGACGCTCCGGGAAGTCTGCAGTCTGCGAACATGTTCAAGATCGTCCCCACCATTACATTAGATTTGATAAACCATAAATTCTCGCAAAAGAACACCGATTCCTACCAAGGATGATACGCGAGGCTATTGAAATTAAAAAACATCCAAATTTCAATAGAGAAGATGGTTGGGTGCTACCATCTGCTTGGGATCCTATAATTAACAAAATTAAACCAAAACCCAAGCATACCACTGCAAGACTTCATGATACTATAAGCTCGTTTTGCGTAAATCGGACCAAAAAATTAAAAAAAAAACTGAAGGTAGCCGGACTAACTATGACATTGGGACGTCAAACATCTCAGTCCCCCCGTGACCATGGGTGCTGTAAATCACCCGAAACGTCGGGATAATAATCAAAATAAATTAAAGTAATTAAACGCGATAAAATCCGTAAATAATAGTTTTATTCAATAGGCCCTAGCGTATTAATTGCAGGAGACCTAAATAGTAAACACGTTAGCTGGAATTCTAACGTTAACAATCCTAACGAAATAATTTTAAGAGACCTCACGGAGAGACTTAACTTCGATGTTATCGCTCCCGAGAGTCCAACACGCTATCCCTTTGCAGATAACCAACATCCGGACGTCCTTGATATAGCACTGCTAAAAGACATCCGACTTAGTATTGATTCGATAGATACTATTATCGAGCTAGTCTCAGACCACAGGCCGGTCGTTTTACAACTGGGCCGGCCGGCAGGTGAGGTCCCTCAGACCAA